TATACTGAGGCTACTTCAGAGCTTTTTTGTAAGGAACATTCAGAGATAAACAAAAACCAAAAGAAGACTCGGGAATCCACCAACAGTCCTCCTCACCCCACTCCGGCAAGACTTACTGCAGCAAAGCCACCATCTCTACTGCTGCTATGCCCTATTTCTGTCCTACCAGCTAGCCCCTTCACTAGCAGGACGCGTGATACCTTTCTCTCTCGATCCCTTACCTTCCCGTTACTCAGAAAAGGTACGGGAATAGACTGCAAAAGTCCTAAGAAATCCCCCAATCCCGCAAAATCCCTAACAGATCCTTCCAAGGATCTCCAACACTGTCGTATTCCCTGCCGAGCTTCCAGGCCTCACACCCCCCTTCCTGCTGGGTTACAGGGCAACACAACTCACCCCAGCTCCGGCCAGYGTCGTCTCAGCAGCAACCCTTGGTTGTCCCGTGGGATGCCCCCCCAAAGCACCCCCAGATCTCTCTACCAGGCCTCATGCCCCTGCATCAACAGGTTACAGGGCAACACCCCAGCACTGGCCAGCGTCGTTCTGGCGTCGAACAGCCTTAGGTCACCGAGTATTACAGCCTTGGAACTACCTAGAAGAGATTGCCAGGAAACCCCAGGATCCAGAAGACTTTTTAAGGACAGAACAGACTAACCCCTTTTTTTTAGAATTGAATTTAACTACGTAAAAATTCGTAATTGAAAACATAAAAAAGGCCTGGCGGGTCCTAGAAATGCTCAGAAACCCTTGGAATCCCTAACGCTCCTTCCGAGGCCTTTCAACACTGTCCTACTCCCTGCCGAGATCTTCCAGGTCTCACGCCCCACATCCTGCTAGGTTACAGGGTGACACAACTCACCCCAGCTCCGACCAGCGTCGTCCCAGCAGCAACCCTTAGCTGTTCCGTAGGATGCCCACCCCTAAGCATCCCCAGATCTCTCTACCAGGCCTCATGCTCCTGCATCGCAGGTCACAGGGTAATACCCCAGCTCCGGCCAGCGTCGTTCTGGCATCGAGCAGCCACAGGTCCCTGAGTATAACAGCATAAAAAACCACCTGAGAAAAGTTGCTAGGGATCCCGAGAGCCCAAAAGCATTCTTAAGACCCCCGAACAGCCATCTGTAAAAAGGAAAAAAGAAGGGGGGGGAAGTCAAAACGAAATACCAACCATCCTAAAGTCCCCCCCTCAACAAAGGAGCCGTCGGTCTCGACTTTCGGTCCTCGAACCAGAACACACTTGGTCTCATACCCCCTTCTGCATGGGTAACAGGGTACCGCAACCTTCCCCAGTACCGACCAACCTAGTTCTGTCGGATAGAAAGTGCCTTCCTCCCTCGGCACTTCCCATAGCGACAAACCCCTACACAGGTTACAGGGTCAGAACCCCGGCGCCGCTTGTGTTGGACGATCTGGTTATGCCTTCCACCCTCGGCATAATTCCATGGGCCTCAAGCTTCCCCCTGGGTCACAGAGCCAAGCTCCAGCACCGGCCCATGTCATCCCAGCCTCGTCCTCCTGACCTACTCACCTTCCCCGACATCCATCCTCTGATTGAAGGCATCCTCTGATTGAAGGCCACCTTTCCTCCTCCCATCCTCCCCTTTTTAATTCCCCCCCTCCTTCCTTGATCAAAATCAAAATTATCTGAGTTTATAGAGTTTATAGAACTTCTATAGGGATTTATTTGAAGAATCTTTTCAGAAATTTCTTAGAAGCTTTTATAGGAAAATATTTCGGTTATGGATCTTCTATAGGAATTTATTGGAAGAATCTTTTCAGAAATTTCTTAGAAGCTTTTGTAGGAAAATATTTTGAATGACAACCCTCCGCGAAAAAGAAGAAATCCCTGCACATGCCCAGAGCTGTGGCCTGGAGAAACAGACCTTTTCCCCATACGTATCCCCTTTAACCACCAGTACATGGCCCGAGGCAACTGGAGAACCTGTTTTGAGCCTCTCCAGAAATTTAGGAGGCCGAGCGCCGTAGATAAAATGAATCGGCGGCCGGCGGCCTCCGAAAGGGGCCCGTGGCCGATAGCTGGCATGTACAGGTACTTTTAAACTTACCACCGCGTCATCCTAACCTACATTCTCTCCTGACCCAAAAACAAAGGATGTCCTCCTGGAGATAGAACATAAAAGTGGCCATCCTATTAATTACTGCAACCTTCCCTCCACACCCACCCACATCACCTCAAGAGAAAAAGTTATCCGGATCCAAACGAACCCGCCCACCTTGAGGCCGCAGGCTCGCAATTGTAGCACTTGCAATTTCTGCAACTTGGTGCCAAGAAACCTGCACAAGACCCTCACTTCCCCCCCTCCACTCACCCCTCGCTGCCCCTTCTCCCCCAACCCACAACCAAGGAGAACACCTCACGACGACAAAGACCCTTGTTTACCCCCTCCATCTCACTCCGCCCCCCCTCCCCCGCCCTCCTCCCTTGGGCCCCACCGCATAACCAACGAGAACAACCCACGCCGACAACGACCCCCCACTTATTGTTCCATTTCCCTCAGAGCATCATAACCCTCACCAACAGCCATGCCAAGCAGTGGCGCATACTGTCAGACCTCTTCTTTGGAGGAAAAGAAAGACAGAAGGTTAATAACCCATAGGAGTACTGTGTAAGAAGTACTAAGAACCTCCTGGATTTTTTCTGCAAGAATTTCCACCCAACCCCCTGCCCCCGCTCAACCCCTCCTTTCCCCCCCGCCCCCCCCGGTAAAATAGATTCTGCAGGGATTTGGGATTTGGGATACCGATTCTTCTTTTTTTTTTTCTTTTTTTTTTTATCATCATGCTGCCACAGGAATAATTGTGACAAGACTCACAACAATTCACAAAAAGGATGTCACAGCAAAGAACACCAAAAGTCGCTAATGAATACACTGTCCTGCTGCTCACGGCGACAGGTGTTCATGGACGTTACATATCACAACAAGTATTCTGCCATTTGGGGGGTGCTGCTATCAGTTTTTGTAACTCTTTTTGCTATTTCCTTCCTCAAAACAAAAGCAAAAGTGCTGCTACCTTTTCCTCTCTTTCCTTCCCTTTCTCCTATGAGTGACCAGAAACATTTTGTTTCCTTTCATCCTGACCACAAACATACTTCTTTTTTTCTTTTTTCTTTTTTCTTTTTGTTTTTCGTCTTTTTCTTGTGACCCAGTCCTGCCTGACCAACCTGGTAACTATATGCTGCGCACCTGTCACACTGGATCGGCGCCTGCTAACGTGACCACACTCCAGAAGTACAACTGGGTCACCCAATGATGAATTCCCTCTCATCATCTGGGTGACCAGAAACCAAGGCTAGGGGGGAGATTGAAAAAAATCAAAGCTACCCAGCTTTTTCAAAAAGGCTTTCCCTCCCCCCAAAAGAAACAGCTACCCAGCCAATGTGGCTGAATGGTACACCCATGTAACTGTTTGATAAACAGACCTGAGTTTTTTGTTTTTGTTTTTTATACAAGAAAACAACTCAAGATGATCCTAGTGGTGCTGATAGGAGCAGACACCACTAGCAGTCTCGGGAGGGCTCCATCTATTGCTGGGGAGCAACACCCGCTGGAAAGCGGGTCCAGCGTCCCAGATCATTGTAATCGAATGTTTGAACAGTTGTAAATGCGCAGGCACGCGGTGATGGGCAGCATTGATTGTCATCGAGCGAGGGGATTGACTGCCCATCAAACCCTAGGACCCTTACCCTGCCGTAATCAACTACTACACTGATACAGTACGAAGGGGAAAGATCCGGACAAGGTTTGGTTTCTACTTCTGCAATTTTCTACCCAGTGTTGCCAGCGCATGTGTCTCCCCTATAACAGTAATAAACAAAACCCGCTCAAGAGGGGAGAACACCAATTCAAAGAGAGAAAACGAAATTACAGGAGGATGAAAGAGCAGCAAAAGTCAGATTAGACACCAACGAAATTACAGGAGGATGAAAGAGCAGCAAAAGTCAGATTAGACACCTACTCTTCCGCCCTCTACACGTGGCCGGGACCAAGCCACATGCCCTAGGAACAACCAACAAACCCTAGTGACATATGCAACAGCACCTCTCCCCGGCCCGCCACATGGCAGATACTTGTGTTCATTATGCTTGGTGTGCCCATCAAAATTCGTAATGGGCAAACGTCGATCGAAACAAAACAGGCGAAGATGTGACAATATTACCTGTCGACAAAAACCAGCTGGAGGTCCTATCCCTACCCCACTCCCTCACGCCACCACAGTGCACCTTTCCACACCCCCCATTCAATTAGTGGCGGCCAGAACAGAGAAGAGAAGAGGGCAAGAGGAGAAAAGAGCCGTCGCCCATCCCCCGGCGCACTCACCGCGTTATTGTTGATGTCGATTTCGCCTGTCGCCCTGTCGATGATTCGGTCGTTGCTGTTATCGTTGTAATTGCTGTTATTATTGTCGTTGCCGCCATCAGTATTTTTGTTGTTGTTGTAGCTGATGGTACCGCCGATCTCGCCACTGTTGAAATCACCGTCACCAAAACTGGCATCCTCTACGTTGCCGTTGTTGTTGTTGTTGTTGTTGTTGTTGATGTTGTTGTTGTTGTTGTTGTTGTTGTTGTTGTTGTTGTTGCTGCTGCTGTTGTTGTTGTTGTTGTTGTTGTTGTTGTTGTTGCCGCTTTCGTCAACACACGACCATGAAATGACACCGACAACATCGCTGCTGGTGTTGTTATTGTTGGTGTTGTCATGGCTGTTGATGCCGCCGCTCTCGCCAGAATCACCATCAAAGGGACCGGCAACGGCGGCATCGATATTGCCGTTGTTGTCGTTGTTGTTGATGTTGTTGTTGCTGTTGTTGTTATTGTTGTTGTTGTTGTTCCTGTTGTTGCCGACGCATGGACATCCTGCCGCTTGCGTAGGTGTTGCGGGTGATGATGGCGAATCGTCCTCCTCCTCCAGATCTAACTGAGCATACCAGCGCTCCATGGACACGGTGCACAGTGCTTGCCCTTCCTCACAGACTGTGTACCAGTGTCGCATCAAAGTCGCCGCTTGTCGCTGGTCAATAAACCTTGCCAAATAAGAAGCTGGCCCCTCCTCCAGCTTCATGATAATGTGCACAAGGCTCTGCATCATGCTTCGGAGAAGGTCATGACTTGTCTGAAGAAGCGAAAACCACTGGGCGGCGCCCTGAAGTAAAGCCTCAGTCGTGGCCATCGGCATCGATGACCGTGTTGACCACGTTGACCGTGTCGCTGTTGTGGCAAAACCTCCCGTCCACGTCGATGTCTTCAGTGCGCTGGCATCACTGCGTCCTCCAGATCCCATGTGGGGCTACCCACTTCAGCTGGCGAAAGCTGGGGCCGTGAACGCTCGAGTCGAGCGGCTATGGTCGCTCAAAGAGGCAACCACGAGGTTCGTGCGGTGCCTGGCGGACGGGCCTTGCCGTTCGCTGCCAGCCAAAAAGAAGAAAAAGAGCGCCTGGGCTAGTTCATCTTTCTTCTGGCACGAGAGCTTGGGACGTTCGTAGAAAACCACCTCGGGCGTACTGGTGGTTTTGACTTTTGAAAAATGCCTTGCACTTGACCTCTTGCCCAACCTCTGGAATGGGTTTGACTGAAACACCAAAACTCATGTCATTTCTGGAGTTGTGTGCCATCCTTGCATGTGCAGGGGCCATGCTAACTTGCTAAGTGATCTTCTCTACATCTTTCCAATTTTAATGGATCTTTCCAATTTCAACGGATGTCTCGAAGGCCACTGATTTTAACCAATGTCCCGATGGAACGTTCCGATTCTTTTTCTTTCCTTTTTTAACCCAAGGCGCATCGGTTTTTGCACCTTTCTTAAGCAGAAATGGGCGACTTGTTTTGGTTTGGGTAGGTCTCAATAGTGCCAGGGTGCCACGAATTAGTAAAGTAATAACAAGAATAGTGAGCCCACTAACAGATTCTGCAGCAGCTATGTTTTTCGCATCGTTGATCATAGAGACTATCATGGTAGAATCAGTGACTGAGGTGAAGTCGTAACAAGGTAGCCGTACAAGAACCTGCCACTGGATGGACTCCTTTCCAGTATACATACCCAGATCTGAGTGGCGTTAGAGTGGAAGGATTGAGAACTCGGTAATGTGATACCAGGTGAAGTAGGGAGGAAGGTGGTGACAGCATGATAATAATGCTCTTATCATCTTCTTATTATCATTTATTCCTGCGTTTATTTTTCTCATTTTTCTCTCTTCTCATACCCAGCTTTGACTGAATGTCGATCTAATCAGACTAGTTACCAAAGGCGTGAAGCACAATTCCGAGTATCCGCGTACTGTTGTAGGACTTCAAAACACCTGATCCCATTCCAAGCTCAAGCTGTGAAATCACGTAATGCCATATGTAGTATGTACTTTATTTTGGGAGACATGGCATGGTTCAAGCCCGGACCTATGACTCAATTTCTTGTGCAAAGAAAAGAGGCCAAGGGCTCCGTAGTAGTCCATAGAGTAATTGGCAACTAGTCAGGCTCATAATCAGCAAAGGCGGAAGGTTCAAAACTTCAAATCCTATTCCCACCAATTGCCCTTCCTCCAATTTATTGGATGCAGACAAGTTCTAACTTCTAATTAATTGTTCTATCAGATGTCCCAAAGGGCAACACCAAAACTTGTGACAGCATCTACATGGAACCCCCCACCCCTCACCCCGAACGCCACCTCCCCCTCTCCCGCTCTCCCCMCCCYGCCCCGCCCCATCCCCACCTGGGATCCTGACAAGCCAGCGGCCACAGGCTCAAGTGCAACAAACACCAGCAACACTCGTCAACAACAATGACAACAACCCAGCAACTCACTAACAGTAACTGTGTAGCCGGTCACCAACAAAGCAGAATCCCCAGGAAGAGTAAACGGAGCCTGCTTCGAATAGCAACAGCAACAGCACGAAGGCGGGACCTCCCAGAACAGGGGCTGGGGAGTCTCAATGAAGCTGCCCTGCAAATGCAACAAACGAGCGGGCTGCTTAGGACTGTAGTTTGCTGGGAAACAGAAAAGTAGCACATGTTCTGAGTGAGTCCCAGTGAATTATCAAGTCTATGTACTGATTGGGACGCTTACCCAGTTTCCAACAGGTTTTGCTCCCCACCAATTGATGGAGCCTTCATGGATGGTTCCGCTTGCGGTAGTGATATGCTCTTATCACTACCTCAAGCGGCACCCTCCGCTGAAGATTAAAAAAAAAAAAAAAAAAAAAAAAAAAAAAAAAAAAAAAAAAAAAAAGAACAACCAATTAGGAGGAGGGAGGGATACTCCAGCAAGTTCAGGACAGATTAGTCTGTCTCTGCCAAATACTATGGCAGCACTGGCAGAAGGAAAAAGAGAGAGTGAAGCAATGAGCTTGTTTCAACCCTCCCTACCTTCTTCCGCTCTTCCGCTAAACTTAACTCCCATTCATCCCAAATGTATACAAACTATTACAAAGCCTCTTCTGGTCCAAATACAGCATGATGCTGGGGGATTGTGCTAGGAGGAAGAAGGTAGTGTTCGTCTCATTGCATGAATTGTGATGGTGTGCTGTTTCCATGCTCAGTCACATCAAGGCAAGCTGCAGCATGTTTAATTAAAAAAGAACTTGTCTATACGAGTTTTGTGCTTCTCTTTCATAATAAAAATGTTGCTGCTTCCGGTCAAAAGGCACAGGAGTAGTGCTCCAGACATACATTCTCCACATGGTAATCACAGCGTTAGGAAGCTATACCAACAAGGTTATCTTTAAGCATCTCTCTCTCTCTCTCTCTCTCTCTCTCTCTCTCTCTCTCTCTCTCTCTCTCTCTCTCTCTCTCT